GGTTAGATTTACCGCCTGAATTGTCTCAATTCACCTGATTTTGCGAAGCCCGCGAGGCGCCATCATGGTTGGCGCCGAGCAAAAAATTTTGAAAATTTGAATTCTGACTTTAATGTGACTAGGAAAATTGAGAAAATTTTGGAAATTTGGAGTCTCCAGATCGTCAGAAAGCGTATTTGGCCATGTACCCCCAGGCCACGATGCGTCTGAACGTCTTTATTTGGTTGGTCGATTGTCAACTCTAATTCTATGTTTGCACAAAGCGTTGTCAATTAGTTATTGTACGAAAAGTGGGATAGCTTCATATAATGGTAAAATGCGTAACTTTAAGATAATTTTAGTTATGCGTGCGGGACAGCGGGAATAAAAGCAGAATGCGTAACATTCACCCGACATGCGGAAACCTTGGCAGGTCTGAGTAAGAATTTAAAGGTGCTCTACAGTCCGATCTGCGCATGTGCACAAAGGAGCCCACTTTTTATGATACAAACAGTTTAACTATGTTTTGGGTTCTTGAAAAGCCTGATTGTTGTTTCTTGATCATTTATTATACTCTAGAAGCTTGAAAATATAAATAGTTGTCGAATAAAGCTCAATATATTTTGGACACAAAAATGTAAACAAAGGCTTTGTTTACATACGGACTGTAGGGCACCTTTAAGTTTTTTTTTCATCTGTATATTTATTATATTAATATTATAACTTAAATGTGAAAATTTATAATAGAAAGGTTATACTGTAATAATATTAAGAACAATAGTCAAATTGCGACAAGATATAACCTCAAGGAGTTAACGGTTAACCCACCCACTCATAACATCGATTCGACATTATGTGTGGCAACATGAATATAGATGTGGCCCCTTATGGTATACGAACTGTGACTGTAATAACTAGGCTGATACAAAACAATAGTCCATTGAAAACCTGAAAAGCCTGGGACTAGGCAGGTATTTTAATATTTCACAAGTGTTAAAATTCAGGTTAATTAAAAATGTTGTTCAGTTGTGAAATTTAAATTAAATATATTATCTTAAGACCTAAACTGAGTAAAACCGAGTTAAATCACAGTTATTATACCCGGTATATGCCCTGGGACTCGGGAAGCCGGGGTTTCATGTAGTGAGAAGTATTGAAGTATAAATAATTACATATTAAGTATCTCGTTTGTTTATAAACCTCGTGTTAAACTGTACATTTCATTAAAACTTGAATAAAATGAATTTCTAATGAATAATTGTTTTAGTTTAGATGGAAATTAGACGTAAAGTTGATTAAAATCCCATAATTTTGCGGCCCAGGAAAGATTTTCGTGACAACATTCAAGGTCATTTTTGATATTCAAATGTGACTTTGGTACGCTTTAATAATTCACAAGTTACAACATAAAATTGACTTAACAGTGAGTAAAGGTTTGTAGAACATACCAATCCAAGACACGATGTGTGGTAGAGATCTTTTCCAGCAATAAAAGTGCCATAAATCCATGGAAAGTTTCATGCAAAAATACAAAATTAAAAAAAGCGTCCTGGGATGTATATTTTTAGACATAGATATCCTAAGTTATCCCATGGTTAACTGAAAGAAACATATGTAATTCATAGATGCACATACTGAGGAAAACTTATGTTATCCATAGAAATCCATAGATGCACATAATTTTTGAGCCTGCGATGTGCTGATGGAAACTCCATTTCTCGACGACGAAAAACGACAAACACGACAGAAAACTGGTGATTTATCACACTTGCCCTTCGGGAAGTGTAATAAATAAAAATATAGATATTTTTCCACAATATTAAAATGCGAAAGGTACTGCTACATGTTTTTAAATGATCAGGAACTAATCTGACTACTATTCTTTATTGCACCAACGTTTGGATTTTTTTGCCTCATCTTGATGTGAAATTGCAAAGACTGTGACTATATCCAAAAAGACTGCCACTATATCCACAACTATGTCCTTGGTAAAGTTGTTTATTTTATTTATTACTGAAATTATGTACATAGTTTTAGCCTTACAATGTAAATAGGCAATTTTTCTTTTAAATTTTTGTTAACAATGAATAAGGAGTACAATATATTTGTTGTTTAATAAATGTTAGGAAAATATACAGAAATAAATAAAAATATACTACATACATGTTTGTAAATATTAAATCAGGAACAAATTTACAATTCTTTATTGCACCAACTTTTGTTTTTTTCCTCACCTTGATGTGAAATTGCAAAGACTGTCATCCACAATGACCCACTTGTCCTTGGTAAAGTTGTTTATTTTATTTATTTAATACTGAAATTATGTATAGTACATAATTGCCAAATTTGATAATTTAGCCTTGCAATGTGAATAGGTAATTTTCCCGGGTACTGTCTACTTGAAATTTTTGTCAACATTTAAACTTTTGAAGGTTTTATCCCTCAGAGAGATTTCAAAAGAAATTTTAACTTTGAAATTTTCTAAGGGGGTGTTTATATGGAGAGGAGCCAGCCCAGGTATCCACAGTGCCTTTTTTAAGGGGGGGGGGGGGGGGGGCAAAACAGAAAAAAAAGGCAGAACGAAAAATATGAGCCGTCGAGGTTTGGCGAACGCGCGACTGGCGGGAGTCTGAAGAGAGATTTTGTAAAACTTAATTTATTAACTTCAGCTATATTTTACTTTAAACAATAACTTCAACTCTTTGTAGCTATAATCATACAGCTATAACCAGTGGCGTGGCCAAACCTTAATTTTGCGGGGGCGAACCTCACGCCGAAAATTATGAAATCTAGGGTCCCTGAATTGCGATTTCATGCATTTTGGGGGTGAAATCTAGCAGAATTCCGAAGATTATAAAGTACATCGAAGACATGATTTTTTCCAGACATTTCTACTCGGAATTAAATAAATTGTAAAAGTCACGTTGAAAAATAGGAGTAGGGGTCAGTGTCACCTTATTTCCTCTCTGTGATGCCGGGGGAGGACCCAATGTGATTTTGATCAGAAATGTTGCATTTAAATCATTTTAGGTTTTATGAGATACCATTTCCGCATTCTAAAAATTGTGTTGCTTTTTCATACGATACAGAAATAAGTCTGAGAAAAAATATTCATGCTATGTTGATACATACATGTATTTAACAGTTAAAAATCTAAACTAAATCTGTTCTTCTTGGAATCATATCTACAACTGCTTTAACGAGGTTTCACAAATCAAGTTCCTCCAGTATATCGTCTTTTTCCTCAGTCGAGACGTACTTAATCAGTTTCAGCTTCGAGCATGTAACGTGTACCCATCCCCCCC